TTTCTCTTTTCTTTTTGTTCTATATAGATATCCAATTGGCCCAGGACTGGTCATTGAAAAGATTGTCCTTTCCCCCACAGCTTGTGGTAGTGTCACATTTGTCCTAAAACATGTGTCCATCTGTTTCTGGCATCTCTCTTCTATCCCACTGGCCTATGTGTCCATCTTTGTAGCAATGCCACAGTCTTACTTACTGGGCTTTACAATAGGTACTGGTGTCCAGTAGAGGAAATCCTCCCACTTTGTTCTTCTTTAAAAAATTTTCAAAACATGGCTATCCTTCACCCTTTGTGTTTCCACTTAGAATTTACAATCTGTTTTCCAAATTACACACACACACACACACACACACACACACACACACCCACACCCACACCCCACCCACCCCCCGGAGTGCTGATAAAGTGAGAGGACGTCTAGAAAGTGCCTTTTCTCACAGCACAGCTTCATAAACCCAATGATTACGTGTTGTTCCTTTATTATCACTCTCCCCAAAATACCCCATGTCTCACCTCTCGCCTCTGCCCACCAGGCTCCCCCTTCCCAGGCTGCCCTATCCAACCTGGTTTACCAGGCAATTACCTACCCACCTTCCACAGCCCCTGTGTGCTCCAGGAGACAGAGCATCCCTCACCTCTATGCCCCAGACACCAGTGCCCCTCCCCTAGTTGTGACAACCAAAGATGTCCCCAGGGGACAAAATCACCATCCACTGAGAACCCATGGGAACGGTCTCTGCCCTGTGGTCCAGAGCAGGTGGAGGAGGGAGCTCACATCCTGGGTGGCCGTGGCAGTGAGGCTCCCACACTCACCCCCTCCCACCCGCAGAGCCAGACCGGCACCCTCAGGCAGACACCGTGGAGCTCTGCCCACCGCCCCGACCCGCAGATGCCCTTACCCAGCCTGATGTCGCCCTCCAGGGTCATCAGCACGTTGCCAGCCTTCAGGTCCCGGTGGATGATCTTCTTGCCGTGCAGGAAGTGGAGGGCTTCTAGCATCTGGCGACAAACGACCTGGATCTGGGGCTCCGTGAGGCCACGGTCCAGCTCTGGAAACAGAGAACTGTTGTCAGTTCAGCGAGTGCTCACCGCGGGCAACTCGATGTCAGCCACTGGCAGGAATGAGAAACACAGAAGCCGCCAACATTACCGAGCACTGTGTACCAGGCTCACTTCTAAGTTACCTGTTTCCTCCTCACAGTAACCTTATGGAGCAGGCACAGTCATTCCCCATTCTACAGATGAGGAAACTGAGGCTCAGAGAGGACAGGCCACTTGCTCAAGCTCACACCACAGTCACAAAACAGCGGCGATTACTACTATATTTTTTGTTATTGCTCAAGCTTCCCGGGGACATCAAGACTTAACAACAACCCTGCCTGGTGTGGCTCAGTGGGTTGGAGCATCACCCCACACACGAAAAGGCTGCAGGTTCGATCCCCAGTCAGGACACATACCCGGGTTGCGGGTTTGACCCCAGGTCGGTTGGGGCGCATGCAGTAAACTGATCGATGTTTCTCTCTCACATCAATGTTTCTCTGTCTCTCCCCCTCACCTCCCGTCTCTTCCTCTCTCTAAAATCAATAAAAAGCACATCCTCAGGCGAAGAAAAATAAAAAAAATTAAAATTAAAAATTTTTAAAAAAAGACCTGACAACATCCCCATTCAGCTCTTACAAAATGGGTGGAATCCCCACTTTTCAAAGCACCTCCAGCAGGTACCTCCCTGTCACCTCCTGAGAGTGCTGTGGGGTTGGGCAAAGGAGTCACCACATGTCTTATGGCCAAGAAGGCTCAGGGGGTGAGTGAACAGGACGTATTGGGTTTCCGAGTGCCCTGCCTTCTCTCCAAGAACCCAACCTGGAAGGGGGACAGAGCGAGGGGGTGCTCGAGGCCAGGTGAATTACTGGGGAGGAGGGGTGAAGGACGCCTGCCCTAGGAACAGCCGACCCCCCCACCGCCCTGGACCAAGGAAGACTCACCCAGCATGATGGCATCCACAGCTCCCCCAGGACAGAACTCGATCATGATCTGCAGGAAACAGCAAGGTGACGCTGAGCAGGGCGCACAGCCAGCGAGATGGGGAGGTCCCAGGGCGTGACCCCCGCCCAGGCTGCCGGGCCAGCGCCTAAGGCCCTTGCTCCCCGGGCTCTCCTCCTCCTGCCCTGGGGCCTCTGCCGTCTGCACCCCTCCCCAACCCTCACAGGAGGCTCTAACACCCAGAGCCTGGGACACTTCATTTTTCAGGGAAGGAAAAAAAACACAAAACACCAAGTTGCCATGGATACCCACAGGTTCAGTGAACAGTCGTTTCAGCCAAGCCCACACCCTCCCTCCGACCTGTCCTGCTCACTGTCCCCACCTGCCAGCTGTCCCACTTTCTGGCCTCCACAGCCAGCGGTCTCAGAGGACACCTTCAGCCCTCATGCAAGCTGTCCCAGTCCTCCTGGAATCCTGGCACCTGCCTCTTGCCTCCATCTTCCAGAGCCTGGGGCCCTGGCTCCCTCGGGGCCTTGAAGAGCAGCTCAGGTGGAGAAACTGAGGCCCAGAAAGTGGAGGTGACTGACCAAGGACACAGGTTGTTTAGTGGCAGGTCCCGGACTGGAAAGCAGTCTTCCAGCCCTCATGTTATTCAGGCAAGCACTGTTTCATTCACTCACTCACTCACTCATTCATTCACTCATTCATTCATTCACTCATTCATTCATTCACTCATTCATTCACTCATTCATTCATTCATTCCACACATACCCCATAGGCAGCAGGCCCTGAAAGAACCACCAAGCCCAGGCCCTCAAGGGGCTCCTGGCCCGCCCAGTGCAGGGAACTGAAAAGGGAGATTAGAGTAAAAAGTAACGTGAGTACCGACAGGCCCTCCCGCTCTGGCTCTCTCCCCCCTTCACTCTTTCCCACCAGCTCTGGCCTTATATGTGCAAACATGCTTCCTCTTTTTCCTTAAAGTACGGATTCAGGTGGGTGGGAAGGGCGGAAAGTGACACAAACTTCAGGACACTCCCGGAAGCTCCCCCCACCTCTGGCTCCTGGCCCTGCTGGCTGGGAAGTCCCTCCAACCAAGAGGCAGACCCAGTGCCTGCGGGCGGTCAGAAGGGCAATGTGACCTTGGGTAGGCCACTTACTCTCCCCAAGTCTCAATCTCCTCATCTGTGAAACAGAACTCATCTCCTCTACCTCCAACGTCCTCAAGTCAAGTCACGGTAAGTGGACGCCACACCAATTAATACGTGCTTGCTAAATCTCTAGCGAACAAATGAATTCCCCAGAAAGCATCACACATAGACTATGTAACTTAGGCCTCCTACAAAAATATGCCTTCTGAGAGCTACAATCTATCAGCACACCCGCAGTTATAATCAAAAGTCAGTACGAGAAGTGGTCAAACCCAGCAGTTCCCACCTCATTCAGTGGAACTGTCCCTTACACAACACCCTTACCCAAGGCCCCCAAGCTCCCTCCTCCCAGAGCTCGGCACCAGGGAAGGTCACACTTTCCACCAATCTAGTTCACTTCCTCCTCTGCTGTTCGAGACCTCCATGACCCCTTGCGCTTCCCTTTTCTTTTTTTGCCTTGGCTGCTGGGAAGCTCTGAGCTGAGCTTTGGTTTTATTCCCATAAATAAATGCACCAACTTTTGGTTCTATGCCAGGATTAAACCCATGATATTTTACAATCTGTGTATGGCCTCGATGAAGTCCTTTTAGGAAATCACTGCCCTCACCCCTGGACTTCTGAAGTGTGAAGCTTTCCTGGACACAGCAGTACCGATATTAACCAGGACACGAGTCAGTGATGTCCCATCAGCCTTTTCGTAAACATTGCCCGACAAAATGGTTAGGTTTTTCTTCTCTTTTTTAAGAAGTGTTTTATTCCTCCTTTTGGTTTTAAATGTTTCAAGGCTTCATGCCTTTTGTGTGACGCAAAAAAAAAAACAAACAAAAAACAACAAACCACAAACACACACCCCAAAAAACAAAAAACAAAATAACCCTTTCATGACTTGGCTCTCACTGGGTCCCATTACCTGGATCTTTCTTTTTTTTTTTAAATCCCCACTTGAGGATATTTTTTCCATTGCTTTTCAGAGAGAGTGGGAGGAAGACAGAGAAAGAGAAACATCGATGTGGGAGAGACACATCAACTGGATGCCTCCTGTACATGCCCTGACTAGGGCCGGGGATCGAGCCTGCAACCGTGGTACATGCCCTTGGCTGGAATCGAACCCAGGACCCTTCAGTCTAAGGGCCTACGCTCTAACCACTGAGCCAAACTGGCCAGAGCTCATTACCTGGGTCTTAACGCTTACCTTACAGGACTCTTACAGAAATGCAGTGGGTTTAATTAACAAAATAATAACCTCAAAAAATAGTAATAAAAATAAAATAATCATCTTTAATGCCTTAGGAAGTCACCAAGTATGCATGCTTAGAAAAGAGAAAGAATGCACATACATCAACACAGGGAAGGGCTAGAAGGGTCTATACTGTATTTTCCACGTTTTAGTCAATGAATATGTTATAAAATTTTATATTAGGAATGATCTTTTTTAACTGGGAAGAACTGGCTTAAAATAACCCCAGGTTGCAGATGCATCTGTGCATCTGAGGGGCAGGGGTATATGTGTCCGTTCATAATGAAAACCCAGCAGCCTGTGCCCACAGCGTCCTGGCATGAAAGGAGGCTCCGTGGGATCGAGGATTCCTGGGTGCAACGCTCAAGGCCTCCGAGCCCTCAGCAGCCCCAATTCCAACAACTCCCAGGACTAAGGACTGACTGCTTAACCCGGTCGGAGGCTCGTCCTTTGTGCTCCCTCAAGAGGGCATTAGGCAGCCTGAGGCTCAGGGTTTTCTCCGGACTTGGAGAAGTGAGGCTGTGGTCAGTTCAACCCACGGACAATTATCATCTGAGGGCCTACCAGGGGCCCTGTATCGCTAGGCTCAGCAGGGCCATAAAAGTAGTATTCAATCAATAAACACTATCCACTATCTGGGCTCCTAGTCTGTGACAAGCCTGGGGACTGGCGACCTAGGACAGATTAGATAGGTCCCTGCGCCAAGGTCATAGGCAGAGGTGGGTACAGAGGCGGGAGGTACAGGCACATGGTGACTGCATTACCCAGAAGCCTGTGGCTGAAGCAGTTAGCCAGGCCTGGAGCTATCCTGGCGAGCTTCCCGGAGGAGACATCCATCCGGCCTGGTTTTTGAAGGGCAAATTTACCAGGTGAAGAAAGACAAAGCCATTCCATGCGGAACACAGCAAGCGCAGAGGCAGAGCCGCATGGAGGAGTGTGGAGGGGAGCGCGGCAGAGTGCTCCACGGGGCTGGAGGAGAGCAGGCCGCAAAGGGGAACTTTATCCTGAGAGCTGTGTGTGTCCGCGGAGAGGCACCAGAGCGCTTTAACAAGGGGGGTCGTAGACGGGTTTCTGCTTTGGGGAGATCCCCACGATGTGTTATCTCTGGGAGCTGGGAAAACAGGGAAACAGTGGATTCTGGGCAAATGGCAAATAGGCAGTTATATCAGTCCTGGTGCCCTGGGGGCGACGACTGTCTTTCCCCTACACACAGCGTTTCTTTCTTTCCCTTCCAGAAAAAGCCATGAGAACTGGGTGGGACTCACCCCATCCCAGGCGGGAAGGGGGTGCCTAAACCTATCAGGGAAATTCGCTGCCCCTGGCCCTGATGGCTGGTCCGGGGCTAGTCCACCAGAGCAAGGCTGGTGGGTTCTGGCTGGTGCTGTGGGACGCCCCGGCGTCTCCGCTGGAGAGGACTGGAAGCACCCGGCCCTGAGGGTCGCAGGCAGCCACCTTGCAACCATGAGGAAAGCCAGTGTGAAGACAAAGCTGATACAAAGAGGAGGGCAGAGAGAGTCAGCATATCGGGGCCCTGCTCCAACTCCCCCGATCTCACATTCGGCAAGACATAGTGAGGCTGAACAAGGGCAAAGGGACAGGAGGACAGGGTGCCATCCCGTGGGGCAAATAAGGTTTCCCTGGGACTCTCTAGGGGGACCAGCTTAAAACTACCTGAGTGGCCACCAGAATGACGGGGAGACAGTTTCTGCTTCAGAAGGTCTGGGGCGGAGTCCACGAACCTGAGTTTCTAACAAATGACCCAGGGATGCTGCTGCTCGTCCCCGGAGCAAACTGAGAACCTTACTGCTCGATCGGAATTTGCAAAAGTGCAAGAGGCCTGGATCTTGGGGCCACATCTCTCCTCTCCCAACAAAAACATAATGTAGGGGGGTAGCAGAGACATCTTGGAGACAAACTGGCCAAATGGTCATGTCTCATGCTCCTTTTTAAGCTGAACTTTATCACCAGCGCTCCTACTTCTCGCCTCTGATCAAAGAGTGAGGGGCTTGAGCAGGAGGTGCGACCATCCCCTGAGCCCTTCCCAGCGCTGGCTCGTGAAGCCCTGGGTGGCGGCAAAGGGATTTGGGGATTTGCAACAGGAAACATGGTCAGATGGAAACAGATGGAGTTTTTCAATGAGCATTTTGAAAAAACGAGGCAGGTCAGCCGGAGCTTGGATACAGGGAGAGCCTTCAGGGAGGGAGGCGCTGGCTTTTTCCAGGGCCCCTTGTCAGACCAGGACGCTCTGCGCGACAGGCCTGCCTCCTCAGCTCTCACCAGCTGGGTGTCCCTAGAGACCAGGGCCCATGCCCACGCTCAGACGCGCCGGGTGGGGACTGGCCGGCGGCCTGTACTCGCTGGCTCCCCTCTCTGGCTGGAGGCCAAAGGAAACTGGAAACCTGTTTACCTCCAGCCCGCTCCGTTTAGACTAAGCAGCTGTCACTGTGCAGCGTGAGGCTCAGGGCCCGGGCACGTGATCCTGGAGGCCATGTCTCCGCTCCGGTCACTCATTCATTCACTCATTCAGGGATTCATCAGGCACCTACCCCAGACCTGCCCCATTTTAGCCGCAGGGGACACAGCACTGTACTTACAGAGCTCCATTCAGGAGGCATTCTCCCTTCTGGGCTCTAAACCTCCTTTGGAGCTGTGCAAATGGACTGGGG